GGAGGGGGAGGGGGAGGAGGAGGAGGAGGAGGAGGAGGAGGAGGAGGAGGAGGAGGAGGAGGAGGAGGAGGAGGTGGAGGAGGAGGAGGAGGAGGAGGACAGTCTTCGTTTCTGTCGTGCCATCGGCACCCTCTCGAGTGCCTCGACGAGGGGGAGCGGGCGCAACGCCGAACCCCTGGGAGTTGCGGGCCAGAATGATGGGGCTGTCCCAAAGCGGGCGGCGGGGATGAGGGCGACCAGGGCGGGCGGGGCCTGGGAGAGCTGCGTCCCGAAGAGAGAAGCTGAAAGGGGGGGGGAGCGCGGGAGCGCCCCGGCAGGTCCCTGGAGACGACCCTGGATGCCCCCGGGGCCTCCGTGGCCTCCGGAGGCCCGAGGGGAGACAGCATCGTGCACAGCAGGGGCCCGACCACAAGAAACCTCCCACAAGAAACCCAACCCCGAGACCCCAGGACGTCCCCTGACTGTTGGTGTGGGAACGTCACGCCTCCCATCGCAAAGCCATCGAGACCCAAGAAACCCAGGGAGCCCTGGAGGCCAAGCTGGGTGCTCCCTGGCAGGGGCCTCCGCTGCAGAACTCGGCGCCCTCGCCCCCCGGTGTGCCGGCGGGCAGCCGCAGGCGTCGGGGGCGGCACCGCACGCCCCCTGCCGCGCGCTCCAGGAAGAAGGCGTCGCCGGGCCGCTGCGGCCTCGGGCCGGGGTGCGCTCGCGGGCTCCCTCCCCTCCCCTCCTCTCCTCTCCCTCCCCTCCCCTCCCCTCCCCTCCCCTCCCCTCCTCTCCCTCCCCTCCCTCCCCTCCGTCTCCCTCCCTCGCCTCGTCGTCCTCTGCGTGCCTCGTCCCTCCCCCTCCTGGGGATGCCAAAAGATACCGATACCGCTACTCCCTGGACCCCTCTTGGGGTGCGTTCTGGCCAGGATTTCGAGGCGAATCCAGCGGCGGCGACGAGGGCCGCAAAGGAGGTCCCAAAAGGGGAAAACGAGCGAAGGGTAGAGGTATGGGATCGTCCCCCTCTTCGCGCGGATCCACGAAATCCGCGCGGAGCGCCAAAAGTTTATGTTCATGTGGTTTCTTCTCCTGAGAACTATGGCCCCCAACATCAGCTGGAGTCATGTTCACCAGGGCGCTCGTGGCGGATTCTGGGCCGCCTCCCCCCCATCTCTCCCACGTCCTTCAAAATAACCTTTGCGCAGCAACTTTGCTGGAGAGGTGGGGGGAAAGGGAAGGACAGGGAACGCTCGAAGCACCAACCAACGTCCCAAGCACGAAGTCTCCGAAGTCTGGCTGCCAGCTGCCGAATAAACGCAACCACGCGCAAATCACCAGGCCCGACGTCCCTCAAGCTTGCTGCTCCGAGCGACGACCCCTCCCCCTCCGAGAGAGACGCTCTCAAAAAGGTTTTCCCCACGGTGGCTCTCAAAATGCAACTCCTTGGAAACATGGCTGGTGAAAGCGATAACAACGGACAACGGCAATGGAACTCTCTCTCTCTCTCTCTCTCTCTCTCTCTCTCTACGGACGAGACGCAAGTGATGGGACGCACCCCAATGCCCATGCCGTTGCCCCTCCCCGGCTCTCCTCCACCCGATAGCCCTGCCTCTCCCATTCACTGGCCAGGGCTCTGCGGCATTCCGACGATGCCTTCGGCAAGAAATGATTTCAAATTCTCTCTGTGAGGTCAAATGCCGAATGCAACTTGGCAGCTCGCTTTGTAACCGGCGAGCTGCGCGGACAAGCCATGGAACTGCTATGATTTGTTCACACTAGTTTCGGATTTGGTCTGGAGTTCCCCGGGCCATCCTCCGCCTTCGCACATTTAACGCCGATGCTCGCATCGCTGGGCCTCCCAATGCTCCCAAATTTCAGATTTCAGGAGACCGTCTCCGTCAGCTGATTTCGCGGTATCGGACGTCGCAGAGCTCCGCAATCAAAACTGCGGCAACTTATTCGCGGACGATCAAGGCGGCACCCTGCTCCCGTCAGCACACTACGTCCGTGTGCCATTGGGACTTGGCACCTCGTTCCAACACCACTCCGCTTATGTAGGCACTGCCCTCAGACTCGACTCGCTCATGCAAATGATACGTGCCAACGACGACATGGTGTCTTACACACGCGGCACGTTGGACCGTACTACCACTGAAGATTTTCAAAAGGGGAAGCAAGGACTAGCTTCGAACACCAACCAAGTCATGACCTGCACCAGCTGCTCTGCGATCGCAGCAATAACAATTTGTCATGGTCATCAGGCGCCTTCGTTTCCCAGTCGGATGGGCCGCACCTGTTCTAGGCACCCTTTGACACGCAGAAAGAGGGCATGGCAAAACATCATATTATGGGCACGCGTTCAACATCACATGCAAAGGTGCTGAACAATTTGATCCAACCAATCACATCTGCCAACCTCGCTACAACGCTACCGCGATGGACAAGGGGCGACGAAAGTCGAACGCACATCCTCCAAATTACACAACAAACGCATGCTTGCCTCGAACTAACGCTTTGGACCCCCGTTGGCCTTAAAAGGACGAGAACCTTGGGAGCCCGCGCAGACTGGCAAGGCGTAACATGAGACCTCGCCACAAGGACAATTGCGTTCAGCGCGTTCCAGGCCCTGCCGAAATGCGCTGGGAATTTTCCTGCTTGGGGTACGGTTACACGAGACGTAATGATGGCCCGGGCACGTCTGGCCGACCCGCACTCAGAAATAAAAAAACATACTACTTTCCGACGTCGAGAAACCTCGAAACGTGAATTCGCTCTGTCGCCACCTTCCGAGAAAACGCCGACAACGCCTGCGGACCCAAAGGATACGGGTATGCAAAATCACACTGCATCAGAACGGAAACTGAGATGCTGGAACATAAGGTGCTGATGGTCGATGACAACGAAGGGAATGAAGCAGACACATCATATGCGATGGACGGTGATCATATGCTCAGAATTTACGGTGCAGTTACTGCCAGGTCGAAGCGATGCCCAATCCCACTGCCTATAGGACGAATCATGACGAGTCGATGCTGCACCATGTGGAAAAATGGACTGTGAAATTGGTATATCGTGCGAGGCCTGTGGTTTGGAGCCACCAGCGAAAAAAAGACACGTCCGCTCATGTTCTCAGGGTCGTGTTAGGTGTTTGGAGGGTAAGGCAAGATATCTCACAACGATCGCAGCGCCTTTGTATCAATGCCGCTACCACCATCTCTCTTTCTTTCTCTCTCGCTCTGTCTCTTTCTCAATCTCTCGTCCCGAGCCTTCTGGCGAAACTGGCGAGTCTGCTGACATGGAGCCACATTCGGCCACAAACCACTCAGAACATTGGCAGGGGTACGTATATATATATATACAGACACAGACAGAGACACATTGGCACATGCAAACACCTATAACCACATACACGTCGACAGGGACGGGGTTATACAGAGATGTAGACACATGCGGGCATATGAGAACTCGCTCACGCCATTTACATAACAGAACCACACGCGCTTCGCGCGCGCGTAGGCTCTAGTCGAGGACATCTGCCTTAGCCACGTCATGCTCCTGCTCCTCTTCGTGCTCCACGCCACTCCCTTGCTCTTCTTGTCCCACACTCGTCCTCACCGTCCTCCCCCTCTTCCCTCCGCATCACGTTTCGCCTCGCTTTCCTTCTCGGTGCCTGCTGCTTCTCCTCCACCTTCTCCGCATCTTCCTTCCACCCTTCGCGTGCGCGTCATGCATGCGTCCCCCCCCATTCCGGCACACCCCTCACGAGGATCGTGGCCCCATAGGGAGCTCCACCGAAGGCCCCAGCGGCAGGGTTTGCAATGAGATCTTATAAAAAAAGGTTGCCGGACAACGCCTGCAGCGACGGGCCGCTTAGGCGGCTGTTGGCGGGATGGCTCAGGCAGCGTCTGACTCAAAGCTGCAAACTGTTACGGAGTCAACGACTCGGCCAAGAGGCCCCTCGGCCAAGACGCCCAATCGAACCCTCTCGGGGCCCCTTAGGCCCTTTCGGACCCCACCCGCAACGCTGTCTGGCAGCCCGCGGGGGCGTCGAGGACGGGCCGCGTGTCGCCCCGAGAGCAGGCAGAACTGAGCCTTACGAAAAACGCTCTCGCACGACTCGATTCGGACATCGCTCGAAGCCCCCTTCGGATGCTGTTGGACGCCTCTTGGGCCTGCCCTGGCCCCCTCTCCGTCCCCCTTGGGACGCCACGGTGTCCCAAAAGAGGGCCCCGGGAGAGATCGAACATAAATCAAACGAAAACGCGGTGGCTTGCAATGTGGGCTGAACGGGTCACCGTAAACTGAATAGGAAACGTGGCCTGCGCCCGAGACTCTAGTGGTAAATGGGCGACGTCAGTGTGAGAAGAGAGGCATCCCCAGGCTCGATGGTGCAATGATGCAATCGGTAGCTGCTACGTTGGCTCAGACGCGCTGGTGACGTGGCGCAGCCGTGACGAGACTACCATGCAAGCGTTATGATGAGAATGGTCATTCACACATGCAAGAGACACGATGCACGTGCTCAAACTCACTGAATACAATACCGAACCAAACCAACAGACTTGAACAACCCGCTTTTGGGACATACACACAACGTAGCAAGGAGAAGAACAACCTACAGGTTGAGCTACCGCGAATGCATCCAACTCGCGCCCCCTGAGATATCGTATGGGCGATGTTTCTGGTGCACCCGAGCTCATGGGGTCTTATAATTGTCCCATCTTACTTAAGGACCGCATCCCAGAAACAATTTCGAGCACCCAGAAACGAACGAATATCGCCCCCCAGGGCCCGACACGTGAAAACCCTTCAGTTTCGGTACTTTCTTGGTGCTCGAGATTCTTTCTGGTGATCAAGGCTAAAGTAGGTTGGAACATCATAACTCCAGACCAGCTCCTCCCCGACCATTACAAAGCCTCTGCCATCCGCCCTGTATCCTCTGAGCCTCCGAGCGCGTTGCACGGCGGCCGCACGGCGGGGCGCACCGAGCGCGCTCGAGCAGCTGTCCAGCGCGAAGCCTCCCGATTCCCCCTCGCGATCCAGTGGCGATTGGATGCTGCGCTGGCGCGTATTGATCGGGAGAGGCCAGGAGGGGGGCGCCCAAGAGGGGGGGGGCGCAAATCATGGCTGGCGGCATGTGCGCGACCCAGGGGGGGTCGGGGACGGAATTGAAATAAGAAGAGGCGCCACGAAACCTGGGAGATCTCATGGCCCCCGCCATGACATCCACCCGCCCTTGTCATCACCCCCCTCTTCGCCGCCCTCGAGTTCTGAGCTGGACGAGGACGACCCTCGCGTGGGTGCGCGACGAGGGGTCTGCAGGCGGACGCACTTGCGGACAGCGACTCGGCAGCGACATCTCATGAGTCAGAGATCGACAGTGACGACGACCAGTGCGATGGCCCAAGGGTTGTCTCGGCCGCCGAGCCTCCCTTGCCCCATATGACACACACACACACCCACACACACGCACACACACACTCACACACACACACACGCACACACACGCACACGCGCATGCGAACGTACACGCACACGCAAACGCACACGCACACGCACACGCACGCGCACACGTACACGCACACGCACACGCACGCACGTACGCACGTACACACAATCACGCTCACACTCACACTCACACACACACACACGGACACAACACAACACAACACACGCACACACAACCGTACACACATACGCACACACACACACACACACGCACACACACAGACACACACACACACACACCACACCTCTGGCGCAAAAACACAAAGAACAACCAGATACCCCTGCTGACCTCATCCCAAGATTTCAGCTCCTGGACTGCCTCTCCGAACTCTCGGTTCGTATTCTCTACAGCCTCCAACACTGGGCAACTTGGCGGCCAACACGTTCTCGAAAGTCGACTGCGCCTAGTGACGTGCGCCCCAGACTGCGTTTACCATGATGCCGACAGCAAGCGAAGCAGCACGTTTGCGATATGTGAAACGCCAGGAAGGGTGGACGAGGAGGAGAGAACGAGAACGAGGAGGAGAGTGGTCGCACAACCTACATCAAGCTCCATGCCCTCAGAGACTGGGCTTCCAACAACAATGATTTATTCGCCGGCCCATCGGGCCAGAGGCGTGCTAACATTTCAGTCAGAAATTCATCAGATTTCTAGCTCGCGCATGCGTGGCGGCCACTAACCAATGAAATCGGAGGCCCCGCCCCGCTATAAAACAAGTTGGATCCCAATTGGAGCAAGATGTCTCGATCTGGACCCTCGCGTGGAACACGCTTGCAATGGCCCCGCGCAGACCGCGCATTCACTCCTGGCTGCGAACGCGCCTGGAGCTTGCAATTCTCTCCGCATGAATCGATCACGTCCTTGCCTCCCGGTTGAGCCCACTGCTACTGTGGCCGTGCGCCCTACCGCGGCGACGAGGTCCCCAGATCCCATGGCGGCGTCGAGTTGAAGACTGACTTTGATAACAAAAACGCGCATCCATTAAACAGAGCAAGGAATAATACTTGTTACAGAAGTAAATAAGATCATTTTCAACTAATCACGAGTACATGTCAGTTCAAAAGCGAATCTGTATCATCGATTCGTCTCCGAGGAGCGACTATTGAAACATGCTACATGTTTGAGGGAATTCAGTTTTGTCTTCTCCCGGTTCATTCTTCATTTACAGATAACCTTCGTCGACCCTCCGCCGCGTGGCCCTGGAAGAGGAATGCGCGCAGCGGCGTCCATTCTATCCGACGCCCAACTGGGTCGAACTGCAATGACGCCCACTCGCAACACCACCGGGGACCTGTGAAAGAACATCAAAACAAGGGGCAACTGAAAACACCAAGCGCACCGCCTCCGAATCCAGAGACGGCCTGAACATCAACGTGGCCAGCTACATCTAAATTCTCGGGGGCGGGGGCTCGGCCTCGGATTCCACTGGTGTAAAATAGGGCTAGGATCGGGATAAATCGCTCCAGAGCGTTCCGGGGCGCTCTCAGAGCGTTCCGGAATGCTCTGGAGCGGCCGCGGCGCCCAATACATCCTCCAAACCCGCCGATTCTCAGAGATCTCGAGTCATCCCGATCCGATGTTGTCCCGATCTTCGCGTCGTTTTATGGCGAGCCCTGGGAGCCCCGAGGCGCAGAGCACAGCCTGGGCACGGTCGCCGCAGGGTCCCGGCCGAGCCCGGGCCACGGCTGCGGGTCTCCCACGGGGGCGGCCGTGGGCGCCCAGTGCGCCCCAGGGGAGCGTCCTGCAGGCGGCCGGCCTCGCGGCCTCAGTCGGAGGGCGCTCCTTGAGGCGGCCCGAGAGGACTTCGCGACGGCCCCGGAGGCGCCCGAGACGGCCCAGGGTGCTCCAACGAGACCCGAAGAGGGCCCCCAGGGGCAAACTGAACTGATTTGGTGTAGGTTTAGGTTCCTGACCGAGTTGGAAAGAAAGTGGCATTACCGCCTTCGCGGGCTGAGGCCGCCAAGGCCACCCCAATGCAGCACAAGAGGCTCCCAGGTCGGCCCCCAGACGGCCCAAGGGGACTCCAAGACGGCCCGAACGGCCTCCAACGACAATTGCAGATGCCCCCAAGAAGGCCCCAAGAAGGGGAATCCAAACTCACGTCGAGCCTGCCCCGAAAAATGGCGCCCAAGCTCGCCAGCATGCCCCCAAGAAGCCCCCAAGAGGTCCCCAGAGGCCCTCCAAGCTGCCACAAGAGGCCTCCAAGAGGTCCCAGGAGGTCACAAACATGCCGACAAGAAGCCCCCCCGAGAGGTTTCCGAAGAGGCCCCAAGAAACCTCCCACAGAGACATCTGGTCCACTGCCTGCAGTATGAATGACCCATGAACCTGGAAAGGAATAAAGCAATGTGAAGCATGGGAACGCTTTCAAAACACCTGACTGGGCGACAGGAAATTGCAATGATGAGGGTATCGATGGTGGTGTATCATGCCAGTGGCTGTGCTGTATTGCGCCATGATGAATTGAGATGTGTCATTCAGACTTGAACTGAGTTGTTCAGTGGGCCGAGTCGAGCTTGGCATCCGAATCCTGACCGAACTGATCTGGATCTTAAGCTCATGCTGCCTGAATGCATGGCTCGCACAGAACTGACTGCAATCAATACGTGCGGGGCGCGCAACCAGCTCGAGTTCAAGGCCCGATTCAATTCCGAAGTGGAACAAACCAACAGCGAACCCGAATCGGGGCGATACACACCGACAAGTGACGGGCCGAAACGCGGCAAACCGGGACACGACAAACTGAGACAGAACGAACCGAAACAAAACGAACCGAGACTGGGACGAGCCGAATACGTCTCGGCTAACCCTCCTGAAATCACCCGGCGTCCCCTGCCGAAGGAGCCGCACTCCGAGAGCCAATGCCAAGGCCCCTGCGAAAAATTACAGGAGATGTGCGCCCCCATGGCCTTGGCCCTGGGGCACAGGGCGACGGGTCCGTGCAGTGCTGAACTGTGCTACGCCAAGCATTGCGCTGTGGATTGAGTCGTCCTTGGCATCCAGATTCTGACCGAACGTATCTAGATCCTGAGCTTGGGATGCCTGAGCGTGTGACTCGCCCAGAGCTGATTCGTGCGGGGCGCTCAGCCAGCTCGAGCTCGATATCCGATTCAGTTCCGAAGCGGGAAGGACCTAACAGAGGGCGAACCCGAACCGAAGCGAAACAGGCAAACAATGGAAAGACCGAAACGCGGCGAACCAATACGCAACAAACTGAAAGACCACGCGTTAGATCTCCCTCTGGCTGGCCTAGACACGTGAAAACATATGCCGAAAACACAGGCGCCAGACGCATGCTATGTCCGCCACCGTGACGCGAGGCGCGAAGTGGAGTTTCTCCAGGTCCTCATGTGTCCTTTGCTCTCTGCACTCAAGGCTCTGGGTTTGTAGTCTTCTAGGGGCTAGGACCTCAGAATCCAAAATTTCTGGGGCGTTCCCGCACGCTCTCGGGCTGCCCCGTATGACTCTTCCAGATGCCAGAGAGCCTCCAGACGGGCCGAGAGGGCCCCAGAAAGCACCCAAGAGGGTCCAGGAGGTCTCCAAGACAGCCCGAGAGCGCTCCAAGACGCCCAAGGTCGCCACAAGTCGGCCCAAGAGGCCCCACAGAAGCCCCAAGAGCGCTCCAAGAGGACCCCCAAGAGGGCCCAAAGAGACAAACAACATTGATGCTCTCTGTGCTTTTCTGTGTGTTTCGCGTTCTCGCTTGTTCGGGCTTCCGACGCTTCAAGATGGCCCCAGAGGCCCCCACGACCGCCCCAAGAGGCCCCCAAGAGGGACACAAGACGGTCCAAGAGGGCCCCAGAACGGATCAAGAGGCGCCCAAGATCGCCCAAGAGGGCCCTAAGAGGGGGAGCACGAATCAACAATTCGATCGTTCCGCCCCAAGAGGCCCCCAGGAGGCCCTAAGAGGCCCCCAAGAGAACCCAAAAGGGCCCCCAAACGGCCCCCAAGAGGCCTCAAAACTGCGTCCAAGAGGCCCCCGAGAGGCCTCCCACGATACCCAAGCGAAAATCCAACATGCCTCTAATCCACAACCCAGGCACGGAAGCGGGATGGGCCAAAGCCACTAGATCCGCCGCCCCCGATGTTCTTGCAACAAGGTTTTTTTCTACACGAACTCTTCCCTTGGGCTTCGGCCCGTCCCGCCTGCCACGCGGAAAGGCGCACAATTCGCCGAACGAATCTCAATCGCCTCCAATACTGCCTCCAAGACGGCTCAAGATGGCCTCCAAGTTCGCCCAAGATAGTCCAACATGGCCTCCAAGATGGCCGAAGGTCCAAGACGCCTCCCAGGCGGCCCAAGATGGCCTCAAGATGACGGCAGACGGCCCAAGAGGCCCCCAAGAGGCCTCCAAGACGGTCCAAGAGGCTCCCAAGAGGGCCTCCAGGAAGGCCCGAAGAGGCCAAAATCATTGACTCCCCATGGTTCTTAAGGATTTGGGGATGTACTCCTTTTCGGCCTTCCGACGGTCCAAGAGCCTACAACGGTCGCCCCAAGATCGCCCATGA